AAATTAAACCAAGATTTAGAATAATTACCATTTTGATCCATACATTGGTAATGTCTGATTAGGCCTCGTGCCACTTTATGTTCAATAAATTGGGCCCCGAGGATAAACAGGTTAAGAATCCCTGCTCTAATGTGAGTAGAAATCTAAAGGGTTGTTTGATTTAAAGAGCAGAAAATGCTGACATTTACCTGTAACTCTGATTTCAACACTGAAGCTTTCCTGACCAACGATGTTCTTCACAGTAATGGTGTAGAAGCCACTGTCTGATCTCTCAGATGTAGGAATCAGCAGCTGAGACCCTTTGTCAGAGTTAGTTATGGTTACATGTTTGGCCACTGGGATTCCATCCTTTACCCAAAAAATGTCAGGCATTGGGGATGCCTTTAGCCAAAAAAATGAAAACAGAGTTAGGATTTTTATGTTTAAATTCTTGCCTAGTATAACAGATAATTGTTAGCCTTCTTGGAGAAAAGACTCTGGCAAAAAGCATGTACCTCAAAGTTAATGTTGAGTCGAACAGTGTTCCCAGATCTGACCACCATCAATGTCTTCATGTTACGGCCTTTAAATTTTGGCTTTACTGTGGGTGAGTTATAGACAACAAAAGGTATAATTTCTTTATATATTTAAAATATAGCAACACTATTTTTTAGCATTTCAGTTTTAATTTTGTTCCCTCAGAACTGTGAAATGAGGAAATGAAATTGTAATGTTGACATGACTTGAATGAGGACATTAACTAGTCAGACGGATGCAGATTCATTTCMAGCCCTTTGTTTATTATTATTGTTATTCATTGCACTCTGGGTGCACCAGCTGTCAAATACCGCATTGCTGTCTTCTGCTCTGTGTGATTAGAGCTTATTTGTTTCCCACAGTGTTGCAAGTGAATGAACAATGGAGTGGCATGACCGAATTAACAAAAGACAGCAGTCTCGGTACAAAATCACAAACAAACAGGCTGCCTGTGTGAGTGAAAGTCTGGCTAAAAATCAACAACAACAACAAAAAAAAAACACTTAAAATGACAGCAGTATAACGCTGTGGTGAGTGCAGTAGAATATTTGCAAAGTGTTTTGATTTTGGTTTGAAGTCTTTCTTTTGAAACTTGTTTGCAATTACATGTCACAATTTCACCTTTTTACTTCAAGATTCAAAATAAACAAATTACACATTAGATTGTTGAACAAAAACTAAAAATATATATATTAAAAGCAGCAAAGTTTTGTTTAAAATGTTCAATCTGCAAGCACATAGAGTATGTGTTGTAATTCTCAGCTTTTACCACACCAACATTTAACTCAATATCTGTAATAAACGGGCTGAGATAAAGCCAATTTGTTATTTTATAACATCAGTTGGTTGTGGTGGCCATTTTGAATTGGTTGACTTGAAATAGTAATCAGTTGTACATGTTGCATTTTACCTTAATTGGCAGGGAATAAAGAAAAAGAAGCAAACTCATTTGTCAAGGTTTTATGCAGAACTAAGCTACGTTTTTAATACCTGTCTGTTTTAGTAAAAAGTAGTAATTTAAGATACACTAGGAAACATTTAGAGAAAAAAAAGGAAACACTTAGAGAAACAAAAGAAAACTATTTTTTTCCATGCAGCATCATTAATTTTTAACAAACCAAGTTCTTACCAGGAGGCGGCATGGCAGTGAAATAATTGTCAAAGCCCTTAGGTTCTCCATCACCACCATAATTTGTGGCAATTACTCTCACCCAGTATGCGGCCATCGCCTTGAGGCCCAGCACAGTGTAGGAAGTTAAACTAATTGGAACGGCATTACATCGGACCCATTCTAGGCTCTCTATTGGTCGGATTTCCACGTAGTACCCCTGGGCTTCATCGTCTTTTCCTTTTACTTCCTTTGGTTTATTCCAAGCCAGTGAAAATGTAGTATAACTGGAAGACGTTAATTTAAGACCTGACACTTTGCCGGGGGGTTCTGAAATTATGACAATGGAAGGCACACACAACAGCAGACATTACTGAATCTTTTATGAAATAATAATTTTAAGGTATTTTCTAAAAGCCATTGGGACTTTGAAACATGTAGGCACATCGTGTGATTGGCTCACTCATTGGATCTCTTGCGGTAACTATGTCACATGGAAAACTGGGATCTCCAGCACCGGACAGATTGATGGCAGACACTCTAAATCGATATGCAGCACCTTCAAAGACATCTTTCACTGCGTACTTTGTATCTGAGAAGAAATTAAAAGGTGGATGTGATATCTCTCACAGTCTTCACTGGCGTAGGCGTACGTATTTCATCTCAGACTGAGGCACTATCTCACTCTCATCCCCAGATACCTGTGATGGGACCCTTTTGGTTTACAAGGCTCCAGTAATTGGTGCCTGCCTTGTTCTTTTCCAAATTATATCCCACTATTTTAGTTCCCCCCGTGTCACATGGATCACACCATGACAGGTTGACGCAGTCTTTAAAGGCACTGACCACTTTAGGTGTTGTTGGTTGTCCAGGATAACCTAAAAAAAATACATCAAGAAAGTGTTTTGTAGATAGGAAGACATGATTTACAATGTTTCACATTGCTTTTTTAAAAGTAAAAATAAAGAAAAACACCAAACCTCTAGTTCTATAAATAATTATTCACATTAATTAATCAAATATTCATGCAGTGCTTTATTCCACTTATTTTATCTAGTCCAATAGCAATCTTGAATTTAAGGTTAATGTTTTTTTTTACCTTTATCTGCCTGTTATGACACCAAAAGTTAAATCTTTTTGATTAGAATGTAAAAAGTCATTTCATTTTTATTGCTTTACTGAATTAATTCCAAAAACTTTGCTTTATTAGTTTCATTTCCATATTTGTGATCCATCACATCAAAATGAGGATTACGTCAAATTTGGTCAAAATGACCTAATCATATTTTCAGATTCTTGGCTTTAAAAGCTACATTTTGATACTTTAATCATCCTTATATGATTAGTAGATCCAGAGATATTATTTAATTTGTCTTGTTGGTTACAATAACATATTTTTTTGCTCTAAATCCTAAATGTAAATTTAACGAGGATTTTTTTATGTCATTTCAAAAAAAGGAACCTCAAATTGTATTTGAATTTTGAGATTTCTCAGCTGGAAAGAAACAAAAGCTTTGATGGCTCATAGTGAATATCAACATTTTAAGGCGCTTTTCCACAAAATCCAGTTTTTGGTTGCTAGTGCTCAAAGAMGTGCTTCAAAAAATTTTTTCAGAATAATATTTCAGACAGTTCATTGAAATGATACATTAATAAAACATTTATTTGTTATATTTAAAAATATGGAATTTTTGCAAGCGTTTCAATCAAAACACTGTTTCTCCACATACAAGTTTTAGACTTAATCCTCGTTTCGATGTGATGGGCCACATTTGTATGCACTTTTTTAAGGGCCGGCTGTCTTACATTAAAAGTCACAAAGTCATGCAAATGAGTCTTAAACATAGTACTTACGCAATACACCAGCTGATATGTCTTCTGACTGCAGGTAATCACTAATGCCTTCTGCATTCTTGGCTCTGATTCTGTAAGAGTATCTCCTTCCGGGGTCCACATCAGTATCTTTGTAATGTGGAGTACCAGGGATCTCTCCAAGGTTTGACCATTTATTTCGCCCAACTTGTTGCCGTTCGATGATGTAGTTTGTGACTGGGCAGCCGCCGCTGTCTTTTGGTGGTTTCCATTTGAATTCAACAGACGTTACAGCACTTTCCACTATGTCCACAGGACCTTGTGGAGGTGTTGGTTTGTCTGTTGACAGAACAAGAAGAGATTATAGATATCTTTTTACACAGTAAACATCAAACTGATTTATTTTACCCACCAAGAACAATAAGCTTTGAAGTGGCTTCTATAGTACCAAACTCATTTTTAATTTTAATTTTGACATCGCCACTATCTTTCCTCTGACACCTAGTAAGCCGCAGCTGGCTGTTTGTGTCTGAGTTCTGAATCTTCACATTGGCGGCAGGTGAAAGCTCATCGTCATTCTTGTACCACTGAGTGTTCATCGGCGCTTTGCCTGAAAATGGCAGCTTCCATTCTGCATTTTCTCCTGCTTTTACGATGACTGGATTTGTGAATTTTCCCAAAGCATCCGAGTCCAGTTTTGGTGGGTCTGTAGTGTCAGAGAAATACATATTAAAAGAAAAGGTAAAAACTTATTACCTTGCAGTGTTTTCAGTGTTGCTGATTTTATTCTGACCTTGGACGTTGATCGTTGCCTCTGATTTGCGTCCTTCAGATTCAAAGCGGTACACAGCTTCATCCTCATATTTACAGCACTCGATTATCAAGGTGTGACAAGCTCCATCTTTGATAATCTTTACCCCGTCCTTGTCTGTTAGCTTAAACAAAAATACAAAGAAAAATATATGAAAACATAAATATGTCTAATGAAAATCGCTTGTATCACTAATTACTTCTGCTCTGACACAGATGACTTACCGGCTTTCCATTTTTGTACCACCGTCCCTCTGAAGCGTTGCTGCTCAGTTTGCAGGACAGCTCTGCTTGACCACCAACAACTGCATTTAAATCTGACAGCCCTCTGACAAACTGAACACCTCCATCTGCATTTAACAATGTAACGACCATTCTTATCACAGATTACACTTTATTTATTCAATCTCTCCCTTCAATCTTTAATATGCTAAAACGACAGACACAAAGTTAAACATGCAGGTTCAAGTTTATTATGTTAAATTACTAAAGGGCACAAAGTCAAACGTTACTTCTGCTTGCTCTCATTACGGCATGTCTGTCTTGTGGTGACATTAATATTCATAATTTCTGATTTTGTAGAGACCTGCTTTAAATATTCATCAGCAGTTTTCTATTCATCTTTGAAGATAGGCGTGCTGTTTTTGCTGCCTGTAGTTTAAAGGTTTTCCAGTAACCATTCCTGTGTTGTAAATATCAAGACTTAGGGTTTCAGAATAGGAAAAAGCTCCTTAATCTTAAAGGGGCAATATTATGTGTTTCTCAGGCATACATTTAAATACTAAACCTTAAGGAAGTATCTATGTCACCTTTAGTTATTAAAATGCTGTTTTTATGTTTAAATAGAAAATAAGCTTATATTCTCATCACTTCCTCTTCTAAATGCCTTGAAATTGGCCTCTGTCTCTTTAAGAACCACCTTCAGCTTCTGTCTTGCCCATTTCAGTGCCGGGGGGGGGCAAACATGATGCAGTCTACTTGGCATCTGAAAATACATTTCCTCAAAGGTATTTTTAATCTGAAAAGAGCTTCACTGAGTGAGAAGTAGTGTTAGCTCAGCAGACAGTTTAAGTTTCACTTTCAGTTTCACCCGAGAGCCTGTACGAGTCATGGGCGGGGTATGTGAGGAGGGGTAAGGTGGGGGCTCTGCCATGAGGAAGTTCGGCTTAAAGACACGTCCCAGGGGCGTTTCTGGTACCAAAAGGCGTTTCTGGTCCCCACCTGTCGTTTTGCTCCTCAGCATGGCTTCCTAAAAACGCTGCAGAATTTCTCAAACATGCATGAATGAGTCAGAGCAAGGCTTTGGGCATGTTTTTTTATGACAGTATAACATTATAACATGATATAAAACTAAAAAAAGTTGATATTGCCCCTTTACGTTTAGTTTTGTTTTAGTTTGTGTGTGTAGTTTGTGTGTTAAGAGTCTAGAATTAAAATAACTTCTGAGCCTGAATTATTCTTTATTAATTTAAAAGCTAAAAAAGTGGATTTTGCACGATATGTTGCCTTAAATGATAAATGGTTTTCAGACTATTCAGTCCTCACAATACTGTGAAAAGTTTTACCTGTGACAGTTTCAGGAACTAAAGGACCATCTCGTAACTTCTTCTTTTTCTTGTCACCATCACCATCTGCTGTATTTCTATTATCTCCATCTCGCTGGAGGTTCTTAAACTTGCCGTTTCCATCCCCTTTTTCATCATCACCTTTGTTTTTCCCTTCCGCGGTTCCTGCACCTGAATGTTCACTACTGCCATCACAAAAAACATCTCTTCCACTTTTCCCGATTTCTTCATCGCCTCCACCTTTTCCATGTCCTCCATCTTCCTGTGCAGCTTTGGCTGCATGTTTTGATGGGTCCTTTTCTTTTTGAAACTCCCTCTGCTGTTTTGATGTGTGTTTAGACTGGTTTTCATGATCACCAGCTTTGTGACCAGCTGAATGAGTAAACACACACACACACACACACACACACACACACACACACACACACACACACACACACACACACACACACACACACACACACAGGGTGAATTATTCATCTCCAGTGCATCTAAAAACACGATAAACACTATAGGCATTTTATAGAAGTATCAGACATAAATATTAGATTTGTATTTGTATTTTATTTGTTAATATTTGTATGAAGATGAGTTTTCTCACCTTCCACCCTGAGGGAGGCGCTGCTCGATGTGATGCCAGCAGTTGCATAATAAGCTCCATTATCTGCAACTTGACAAGCTTTTATTCTCAGTGTGTGAGTCAGTTTGTCCTCAGAGACTGTGATCTCATATTTGTCACTTTGTTCAAGCGATGAATCCTCTTTTGCCCAAGTGATTCTGTTCAGGGGTGYTGACAGAACACAATGAAAGACGGCGTCATCGTTGTTGGTGACTTTAACGTCCTCGATCTTTGCTGTGAATTCCACGTCTGGAACTAAGAGTGATGAAAAAGAGACATGTTTTTTTTTTTTATCTTAACCACTTCCATGGCAACAACCTTGTTTCATGCTAGCCTTGTTTTACCTTTAAGCTCAGTTGTAAGGACATTTGTCTCCTCAACATCAACCTGATATAACCCAGCATCCTCAGGCTGAAGGTCTTTAATACTGAAAAGGTAGTTTATCCCTTTTTTCTCAAGCCTGTACTTTGAGTTTTTATTTTCATCGTATGKAATCATTGTCCCATCCTTGTGAGACAAACCAGAGTCAGAATATTTCTCTAAATTATTTACCTGTTGGTTTGAGGGTTCCAGGAATCCATTTTGATTCACCTTGTATAAATGAACTGCACTGTTGGGATCCTTTAGTTTCATGTCAAAGCTGAATTCAGCCCTTCCACTTGGTTTCACTTCAATTTGTTTCACATTCTCCAGCTTCTCTACAACCTTGAACAGAAACATTCAGAATCCAGTGCATATGTCTGCTTTTGCTCCGTAATTGTTGCTACAGCCATTACTTTTTATCATGATTAGTTTTGAGCGTTGAGTACCTGGGCTTGTTCATCTTCTCTATCTTTCTTTATCTGTTTAAGTTGTTTTAATATCCAGCGGAAGTCTGTAACGCCAAACTCCAGACAGATTTTTTCATAATCTTTCTTTGGTGCACTTAGAAGCAGCTCCACGAGTTTAGGATCTATTTCTCCTTCTTTCTGTTGGGGGAGTTGTTTCTTTTTCTTGGTCACAACTGTCCTAAATATATGGAAAAGAGAAATCGTGAGTCCATGTTTTTTGTTTACAAATGAATGCCTTTTAAATAGTCCAAAACATTGACTTCAGCTTACGTTTTCTTAAGCATTGCTCTGAAGTTTTGTGTTCCCTGCCCATTTGCTTCAAAAAAAAAGACAAATTACATTTGGAAATAAAAAAAATTGCCATCATCACGGTTTAAATTGTATGCACGATTTTGCCTAAATCATAAAATTGAGATGTGTTGACGTTAAATATAACAGCTGAATCACAGTAATTTTTGTCCTAAAAAATTGGAACTCCACAAGATCGATATGGATTAATTAAGTTTAATAAGTAAATTATATTGAAATAAAATAAATAAATAAGGAAGYCAGTGAATGATTGACCAAACACAATTTTATACCATCTTGTGATTTCTTCTTTTGGCCTCCTGGAAGGACCCACAACAAYAACAAACAAGTAAGAATAATTTAATAGTTTGTCAGTAGTAAATTGTTGAAATAGTTATTAAAAAATTTAAATACATTTTACCTTCAATCACAGTCAGAGTGGTTGTACAGACAGCTTTTCCGAACTCATTGGTTGCAAAGCATGTGTAGGTGTCAGCTTGATCAAGGTTTGCATTTGGTATCTGACAAAGTAAAAAAACTGAAAGTAAATGCATATTTKAAAGGTATATTTGTTTAAAAAAAGAAAAAKAATWTGCAGCACATAGTYTGACTGGATTTTTGTGACAAACATTCTARTCAACCAAATCTCAGGTCACCCCTCACAAAGGCTTCATCAGATCTTTATGACAAAAATACATGAAACATCTTTTCCCCAGTTTTTTTCTCTCACCTCAAGAATATGTTCTCGAGTTCTTTCTTCATATCTTGTTTTGTACTTTTCTGGATCATCTACGTCTCCTTTGTTGCGACCCCATGTMACAGTCGGTCCTGGCTCTCCACTCACCATTGCTTTGAAAAAGGCTTTTTTCCCTGAAAAGGGGAAACAAACAGCCAGAGAACAGAAATTAAAAGAAAAAAAAAGTGAACTTTACTGCATTGTTTTACTTTTGTTTCAACATGCATTTTCACCCTCTTGAACAGTTGAGGCCATCAGTTTCCGAGTAAAGTCGGGTGTCGATTTTCCTGCTGGGAGTATCTCCACGAACTGAGTGATCACGACTCCAGCGACTCTGGATCTTTTCTTGATCGCCACTGTTAAATTCAGAAGTAGTGTTAAATAGTGCAAAAACGTGATAATGCACAGTGGTGGAGAAAGTACTCAAACACTGCACTTAAGTAAAAGTACAGATAAACAGACAAGAATGTACTCTAGCAAAAGTAAAAGCACCACATTAACATTTTACTTGAGTAAAAATAAATAAGTACTTGCTTTTAAAAATACTTAAAGTATTAAAAGTAAAAGTACTTGCTTAATGTATTCCCTAATGGTCTACAATGAAGTGATCATGAAGTGTGCCTACTGTATGTATATTTTAATACATCAATGGTGCCATTTTAGTGAACAATGCTGCAGATAATACATAGTTTTGTGTTTACACTCTGTGACACTGTTCACACTTGGACTTGTGATTCTGTGCATCATCACATATTGTGACAACAGCTGCAGAAGATGTAAATTCACCACTAACCTCCTCTATCAAATCTCAACAAGTCATTTTTTGAACCAGTTAAATAAGGCCATGAATGGCACATTTCCTCCGTGGTGGAAACCATTGTGGACATGCTGATGCTCTGCTTTTTTATGAAGGAGGGTGTAATGGTACTTTCCTGCTTTGTTCAATGGACCAATTACAGCAATTCCCCCTCTCGCCACTGATTATTTTCTAATTAAAAAAATAAAATAAACCACAAATAAAATAAAATAAAAAATAAATCGACATGACATGATTGTACTTTGTAATTCAACACATTACAGAAATGTAGTGGAGTAGAAAGTAGATACTTAATGTAAAATATAGTGGAGTAAAAGTCAAAAGTACCCATGATGGAATCTACTTAAGTACAGATACATGAAAAATGTACTTTAGTACAGCAAGAAAGTACTTGTACTTAGTTACATCCCACCACTGATAATGGCATGACGTTAAGATTTTAAACTTGGACAGGACACCTACACAAACATCACGTGCCAGCAAACTGTGTCCTTTTGGATACCTATTTTGCACATTTGACAGTCATCTTTCACATAACTCTGTCAAATGTGAAAGTGCTGCACACTGATGCCTTTGTTTCTTTACATTTTATCTGTCTTTTTTTTAGGATTTTGTTTCTTCTTTACATCTTGATATTGTAAATATTTTTTTACTCTTCTCTATTTTTTTATTCAAACACCATGAGGGAACACCTAAATTCATTGTACTTGTTACAATGATAATAAAGATCTGTTCTATTCTATTCCCAGTAAATGAGACTGCACACAGAAAAATACTGCAAACAAGCTGCAAAATGTATCAATTTAAATGTAGAACGTCTACATTTGTCACAGTCTCTGTGTGTTTTGGTTACTCTTCTTTTTTCTGTTTACCTCCTCTTTCCTGTCTGCTCCAGCCCTGCCCACTTTCACCTGCTCATGTTTCTCTCCCAGGTGTTTCTCGTTGTAGCTCGATAGTTCCCCTTTATATTCTGTTCTCTGTCTTCATTCTAGTGTCGGTGCTTTGTTGTTGTTTTGCGTTCTCCACAGTCAGTGAGTTCTGTTTCCTCGTACCCAAGCCTGTGTTTTCTTTCTGTAAATATTTTTGCTGCCACGCCAGCCTTTTTTTGTTTAATAAAGCTCTTCTTTTTTTGCCAGATTTTTGACAGTCAGTCATCCAGTTCTGCCCCAGGCATTCAACCTTCCAAACCAGGCTAGAAGTGAGAAGGGAGCTTAGAAGGAGCAGAGACCAGATGAGGCTCATGAGCTTGATTGCAGCAGAAATCAGGTGTGATAGAGTGGCAGTAGGCAGAGGCTGAGAGAGGACAGGCATGACAGCTGACAGAGCATGAATTGTGACAACATTCTTTATTAGGGCTACACAATAAATCACAAATATATCCTCATCACAATATCAGTGTGCGCAAAGTTCATAAAGCACAGAWCTGCTTGGATTGCAATAATTGTTGAATGTAAAATGGTAAATGGACTGTACTTATGCCCCTTTTCCACTAGTGCCACTTAGTGTAGTGTCGGTGCGGTTCGGTACCGTTCCAAGCCATTTCCATTAGGCCAGATCCATGGAATCGGCACTTTTTTTAGTACCTACTTCATGTGGTTCCAAGCAGCCCCAGCTGACACCAAAATGTGACATCAGAACACTGTTCATCACTGATTGGCTAAATTCTCGCAAATGTTTAAAATTTCAAAAGTTATTCATYAAATGTGTTTCCATCTCTCATTTTGCCTATTAACTTTTATTTTCAAAAAACCTAAAAAACACCTCCACCAACCGCCCAAAACACACCCATTGGAACCGGACTGGAACATCATAGGAAAACCAACCGGTCYGACCCATACTGACCCGTACCTATGCTGACCGTTCTGACACTACACCATGGAAAAGGGGCATTATACAGCGTCTTTCTATCCAACCAAGACACTCAAAGCGCATTACACTTATGGACATTCACCCATTCACACTCACAGTCACACATTGATGATGGCAAACTACAGTGTAGCCACAGCTGCCCTGGGGCACACTGACAGAGGTGAGGCTGCCTTGCGCAGGCGCTACCGGACCCTCTAATTGACTAATGTATTTGAAGAGTTTAGAAGTTGTATTTTTTTATGCTAATGTAATATTTAGCCAATAGGACAAAGTCACACAGTAGCAAAAGCTTACACAAGACAAAAATGACGGGAGGAAGGGAGGGACATATCACACATGATATCGTCATTGCGATATTTACAAATATTATTGCCATCGCAAGCCCTATGTGCAGCGTCATTCTTTAAAAGGTACAGCAAGTCAAACTTGACCGTAATAGTAATTTAGACATTTAATCTACTTTCCTCATGTATTAAAGTTTATCTTTTGACTTTAATATCTATATATTTTTCTTATACAACACAGTTAAAGCATGGTTTTTAAAACAAATATCATTTATAGAACTCAATCCACCGTTAATGTTTTGCATTTAACAGTATCACTGGTGAAGTTTCACATCAGAATGTCACCAGAGGTCACTCTTTCCTTTTTTTATTTGTCCAACCTTTTTTTGCATTTTATACACTGGCAAAGTTTTATTCAATGAAAATTTTCATTGATAAAGTTATACAAATGTTTTTTTTATTTTTTAAAACATTAGAAGTTGAGTTATATTGCTAATTTATTCTAAACAAAAATATATCAAGCTTATTCTSTTTTGCCAAAAAATTAGAAATTGTTAATGTGAGAGAGGGGAAAAAAGTGAGGTAATGTATTTTTGAGATTGTTGTTCATCCTCTGACATTTTTACTGTATGATGACTTCGTGAGCAACAATAAGTTGACCTAACAGCTGTTGGAATCACAAGCATGAACCCACCATCTGTTTCCCTTTTTCTGTACAAGCATCATATGTTGTAATGGCTCAGAGCTGCTTCTGTTATCCTGGAGTTTGTGTATTAAATATGACTTTACTGAGACCTATCATAGACGGGTCAAACATCTAATTACAATTCAGTGTTGCTGTGTGCAGAATCAGACCTGCCAACAAACATCTGCTCACTTAAACCTCATATTTATCCCAACCAATTCCCAGAGTAGCTGCAAAATCCCATTCAAATAGACAATTTCTTATGCTTTAGACATATCTACGCAACTAATGATGTCAATAGAAATCATTTAAATTACTTTAAACTAACATTTACACAAACATCCACTTAAGTTCAGAGTGAACTTATTTCTGTATACTGTCCTCTGCGAGCTGCTTTTCAAAGCTCTATTCTGAATAATTGTATTCCAGCAGCCTTACTGCAGCTTAAGGGCATGCATTGAATATTCATCAAATTGTGTGTGTCATCTCTCTAGGGTTGGTTTATATTTTTATATCATCTGAATGCAGGCAGGATTCTTGTAACCTTGTTCCTGAAGCATTGATTCACACATTATCCAAGTCTGTTTGGATAGCACTCTGGCATTTTCCTGCTGCATACCAATTGCTCCTAGAAGAACTGCTGGATTTGGGCAGCAGCTAACTTGAGAAAATCTTCAAGAAAAAAATAAATAAATAAAAATGCTGGCTGTAGAAGAAGACATCCTTGCCATAAACCACTCCAAGCCACCCCCTTTGCCTTCAGAATGAGTGCATAAAGCTTTCAGACACTTGAGGTAGTGTTTCCCACAGTAAAATATAGACCGTACACTTGTCGTTCTATGGGTAATGCACATCATTTCGTTTTTCTTCATTTCAAGTACAGAAAACTAGGATTCAAAAGTCTAAAAATCTATTTTGCTGTCAATTACAAAAGACTATGTTTTACATCATTGATTATTTTAATAGGTCAATCTGTTTTCAATTTGTTAATGGAGACTTGGCTTGTGAAAATACCAAATATACAATTCTGAACTTTGTATATATTACAAAAAAATAAAATAAAATAAAATAAAACATGCAGACTGACTTACCAGAAGTTGGTGGGTCCTGAGGAGATTTTGAACTCATCGTTGCTTTTGTTTGTTGATCTCATCAAGTCAGAATTGTAATTATTTGAATCTAAAATTTAAGGAACAAAGTTAGTTTTGTAACTGCAGTCATAGCAAGAACCTTTTGATTTTCATGTTACCTATGAAAATGATCATATCGTTTCATTTTACGATGCCTCTAAACCGAAGCTAAATAGTTTTAAATTTAAGTAAAATTGGTAAAATTATTATCTAAAATGTGTAAATTTCATATTAGATTATAGTGCAGGATTTTAGTGGCATCATCATTATTGGAATCGTTTAGGTATTTTATTTTTAAATCTAACAGAATTTGCACTTTTAAGATCATGACAATGATAACTGCTACATCTATACGAAGAGGAAAAATGAAAATTAAGTATTTAGACAAAAAATGTTATTGTTAACTAATCATCATTGATGTTTCTATTCTATTAGTGATGTTCATGAGAACCTAAAACACTGAAAAACAGGAAAGGGAAATATTAGGGAATACTGCCTTGGAGCTTCTCATGTGACATGCTTCCAGATGACATCAGTCTGTCAAACAGTGAAGCCGTGACTCCTGCAGACACTTGGAGACGTGTTTGAGGCGCTGTAAATGAGGAATGTGAAATCCCACCGAGTGGCTTACTCCTTCTAACTGCCTGTGGAGTCAATTGGCTGCCAGTAACTTAACTGCTCAGGATCCAAACATAGACAGGGGACAAATGTCTTCTCATCCAACTGTTGGGCTGATGCACATGTTGGGTAACACGCAGGTTAATGTGCGTCTTTTTAATTTCGTTTTCAATTACCATCGAGATAAGAGTTGTTCTTGACAAATTTTTTACACCTGCAGTGAATAGATTTGTGTTGATTATGTGTAATATTTTAAACTTGACAACCTTAAAAAATAAACAGCTTTTGAGATGGTAATTAGTAAGTATTTAAGATAAGCTACGTTTCATCAATTAAAACAAACAAACAAAAAAAATGTATTTCTTACAACAATATGGCCAATTTTTCATGATGGACCTTTATTTTTTCCCTTAAAAACTGAAAATATTCTGAGCAGATATATATCTGCCTTTCAGCATCTACCAAATTGAAAAAAAAAAGACTAAATAAATAAATACATTTCTGGTGTATGGCAGTTTGTTGTGTAAAATGATCACAGGTTTCTGCTAATTTGTAAAGGTCACATTTAGCAAATTTGTTTTTTTGCCTTTTTTGAGGTATTTAAAATGCTAATCAGAGTAGATCTAGCATGTGATCTTTTAAAATCCTACCATCCATTTAACATTGTAATTTACTATTTTCTGTTAGTTTTTGGGCTGAATAAAAATGGAGGTATATTTTTCTCCATATTTTTCATAACTGCATTGCAAAGTGTAAACATTTCTTAAATTTGTCAACACATTTGTATTTTCAGCTGCAACAAATATTTTTTATCACTCAAATACTCAATCTCAACTTAAATTTCTAACCATTTAAAAACAAATCTGTCTAATAATTAATATTAATGACATTGTATGACCTAAAATAGGTTAGCATGTAGCCAAAAACATATATTTTTAACAATTGTTAGTCTTGATAATTGCTATTTTTATAGAACTGTATGCTTCTGCAAATAATCCAGATCGGTTTATCTGTGGTTTCTAACATTCTCCTATTTTAAGCAATGCTATTTTTGTTTTTATTTGATTAAATTTGTTCGATTTAATGACGCACAGACTTAATGAAAGAAAATGAATCATACTTACTAACAGTTATCTGTCAGCGTTGTTCAGCGAGACATCTTCTGTCTGCTCTGTATTTCAAATGCGATCCGTCTTTTTGTTCAGCGATAAAAGTYCGGACCTATTTAAGTACCTTTCATGGGTAGTTGGTGAAAACCCACATTACCACCGTGATGATGGGTGAAGGTTCCTCTTACGCATCAAGCGATCGCTTTGCAGTTGGCACCGGAAATATTTCATGGCTGTTCATTCAATCTGGTATTACTTGTTGACATTGTAATAGGAAACATAAGCATGATATAGCAGAAATGTAAAATCGTACAGAAATCTAAATGATCATAAATGACAYAGTTTGATGGATATCCTTGTTTCAAGGATGAGAATCTGATGCTGCGAGTTTTCAAGTTTACAGGAGAAAAACCCGGCCAAAAACGTTTTTACAGCAACTTTGCAAGTTTTTTTTTTTTTTTTTTGTAACATGACCACCCAAGTATGAGTTTTACTGGTCAGTAAACATTAATGTGAGACATTTTATGTAGCAAAATGATCCTATATTGATATTAATGGATTGGCTGTTCCTATTAGCATGCATATGAATCAGATGAAAATTTCACAGCATGCCTGTGGGATTTARCTTGTCACACTGGACCTGGTGGTGCATTATAAAAAGCTGGTTACTCATAGAGACTGTGATGTGCTGGACACAGAGTACAGAGCAGGGTTTTTCAGTCTATATAGTCAGAGGTTAGATACGCATGACATTTCAAGACAGTGTGAATAGTCACTGAGAGGTTGTTGAAGAAAGAGACACAGGTGGGAGAAAAGCCTGATGACATTTCTGAAGATAAACACTGATATCACCTCTGACCTATTTAAAAGCATTAAGTTAGCACTGTTATACATCACTGATACACAAATGAGTATTAAAAATACTAGATTAAAGTCTGAATTTTCTCAAATTAAGTGAAATAATYTWCCAGTGCAGTAAGATAACTGMACTTTGTAAGACTTCTAATTTTTGGCTAGATTTAAGACTKGGTTAGATATCATACTTGTCTTAAGCGTTTATATACACTCCTGATCAAAATCTTAAGACCAGTCAAAAAAGTGCAATAATTTGCATTTTGCACTATTGG